CTCTCTTCCACAGTACTAAAACCAGCATACTGGCGGATGGTCCAGGGCCTAAAGGTATACATGGTAGGATATGGTCCACGTGTGAATGGCTTCACTCCTGGAAGTTCTTCAGGTAAGTCCGTAGTATCTCTCTTGGAATACAAGGGTTTTATAGAGATCCCTTCCGGGGTGTGCCATATTAGGTCTTCTGGGTTTTTGCCTTTCAGCTGCTTTTTAGCCAGGGCAGCCCATTCTGGGTGAAGGGGCTGTTGCTGGTGTAGAAGTCGTTGCCGTATGAGCCTGGAGCCTGATGATTCTTTTACCTGCTTCAGGTAATGAGGTGAAAGTAAAAAAAGCTGATTCTTAGCTCTTAACATGGTGGAGCATGGAAACACCCAACAGAAATAAGAACTGACCTAGAAAAAGAAACATAGTGTATAAACATTTAGAACAAGGGGTGGGAAATAGGAGCTACTGATTAGAAAGGAATAAAAAAGAAAGAAGATGTATTAGTCTGATTTCATTTCTTCCCCTTTTCTGCTTCCTGCACCTGATATTTTATAACTTTGGCCCCTCTTCTCCACAATTACTATCAGTCTTCTAGTTCCAGTCTTTTTCCTCAGTAGCCTCTTAGCTGGTCTTACTGACCAGTCTTAGCCCCCTTTTATTCCATTCTATATGAATCCCTTCCATACAATGACATCATTGTAAATATGACTATGTCACACTCCCCATGAAATTTTTCAAAGACTCTGTATCATGCGGAAGATATACTACAGCCTCCTAATTAACATCAAAATGCTTTTATTAAATATCAGTTTATGACTGACATTATGTTGGGTAAAGGAGGAAAAAAGTGGTGAATAAGACAAACAGGTATTCAAGGCCTTCATGAACCAGTCTCTGTTTCCCCCTCAGACTCACCTCTGTCTTTGTCCTCTTTATGCATTTTGTGCACTAGAAATACTGGATTACCTACAGTTGGCTGCGCATATGTCAAAGTTTTGTGAATTTGCTCTTGCTCTTCCTTCTGCCTAAAATATTCTTCTCTTGCTAATTCAGCTAAGGCATTATCTCCAACTTGCAGTGTTTCTATGTGCTAGTAACACAGAAGTCTATAATGACATCACAGAGTAGCAATTTTAATCTCTGCAATACCCTTAATAGGTAGGTACTATTATTAGCCCCATTTTACAGATTAAGAAACTGAGGCACAGAAGAGCCAGCATTGACTGGAACCTATGCAGCTGGTTTCAAAGTCCTTGCATTTAACTAATACGCTCACAACTCATCCCAGAACCCATAAGGTGAGCCAAATGGCCTCTTCAGTAATCTACTTCTGTGCTAATTTATAAACTGCTCCAACATTAGAGCTGTACATTCCTGATAACTAGCAAAGACCTTTATACTAGGTTGCTGGGTTCAGTGTCATCATTTTCTAGATGTAGAAACTGAAGCTTAGAGAAATAAAGTCGCCTGATCAAAATCCCACCTCACAAAGCAGTAAACTGTTCACCTGAATTACTAAAACTTGTCAGAGTCATACAGCCTAAACATATAGAGCCTATTATTTAAAAAGATACTGAGATACAAACATTAATATATTCACTATACTATGTGTATTATACTGCATACAGCAACAAATAAAGGGAGTTTCAAATTTTATTTTCCATACCACTTCTTACCTATCAGTTTAGTAAAGTTTAAATGAAATACTCAACACTTATTACGGGGTCGTTAAACAAGAGCCATAAACCACTGGTGAGAGTATGAACTATTTTAACTACTTTGGAAAGTAAATTGTCAATATATATGAAATGTTTCAGAAATGTTTATGCCGTTCCACTGAGGAACATTACTCCTGGGAAAGCTTCTGTAATAATACATAGATGTTCCCTATAGTTTTATTTGTAATAGAGAAAATTTAGGAAAATCGTGTCTAATAACATATGAATAAGTTAATTACAGCATATAAAAATGATAGCATTTCATGTAGCTATTAAAATATGTTTAGAAAGCTAGCAAAACTAATCTTTGATGTCAGAAGTCAGAAGAATGATTACTTATGGTTGCTAGAATACAACAGGAGCAAGAGAGGGGCTTTTGGGAGTAATGCTCTTGATCTGATTGCCACTTACATAGATATATTCTGTTTGTGGAAATTCATCAAATTATACAGTTATGTTTTATGCAGTTTCTGTAAATACATGTATAAGTACAAAGTTAAAAATGTGTTATGCGTATTTTCCCAAAAAAAGAGAAACTCAAAAAGTAGTAAGTAAAAGACTCAAGACACATAATTTTAAATGCAATAGGTTCAACTATGTAAAAAGTACATAGAACAAAGTCTAAATGGAAACAACAAAAAAGAGGCCAGGCATGGTGGCTCACGCCT